GCAATTAGCATCTTCTAATTCTGCTTAAAATATCAATTAATCCATCTACTCTCATCCATCCGAACCATTTAGAAACCCATCGTTTTTTTCTTACTTACCGCATTTAGATTTATAATTTAAAATCCCGAAAATAACATAACTCTCTTGACAGCAAATAATCATGGTATTTTAAAAAAACAAATGTTAGCTACATAATTAGCTGCTAATCACGATCTAATTATTTTTTTTTTCTTTTGACGAATCTTAATTATCTAAAAACCAAACTGAAGCTACCTCTTCCCATTTCGAATTTTACAAATTGGAAACTTCTCAAATAGATAATAAAACAAATATTTTTTTTTTAATTATTCCAATTATTCCGTGTAGTTTTAATTAACCCAAAAAAAAAAAAAATTAAAAATCTAGGAATTTAAGCATGTAGATGCGGAAATGAACAAGATGAACACCTGACTAGACCATTCTCGTTGCAGGTCGTACATGTTCGGAACCCTAGCTTCTCCGTATGCACCTTATGGCTACCGTGACAATCCTTGCACGGTACGAATCTGTGACCTCCACACATCTCACATACACCTTGCTCAACCGTCGGTAACTCCTGCACGAGCTTCTTCAGCTCTCCGATCTCGTGAAGCTTTACCACCTCCTCCGCTCCTCCGACGTACCGACCACCGATGAAAACGCGAGGCAGCTTCGGAATCTTCGTCTGATTCTGTTCCTTTCCGAAGATCCGTTGCAGCTCCGTTGAGAAAGACGCGTCCATCGAGAGATCTCGTTCGTCGATTCGTACGGGGAAGCTATGGAGAATCGATGTGACGGATTTACAATCTTCGAACGTAGGACGAACAACGCGGAGGCTGGTGAAGTAAACGACGATGCTGTTCTCAGAGCCAGGGATTGAAATCCGTACATCTGGTTCCGGTTTTGGTTTCGATTGCTTCGAATCTGGTTCGGGTTTGGGTCGTAGATTGATAGGTTCGGAATCTGCGCGGTGGAGCTGGTTTGAAGGACGAGTTGGCCAGGATCTGAGGATCAAATTGGAAGCGCAGACTCGGTGGAAAACTCTGGATACGTTTTTG